TTTAAAAATTTTAAAGTAAGCTGCCACCAAGGGTTGGCTGCACTCTGTCCCCTGCACACCCGGAGCCAACTGGTCCCAAAGCCATCTGTCGTTGCTGAGGGATGACAAAGAGAGGCTGGAGTCAGGCACCTGGAGGTCACGCTGCTGCTTTTCCTGGGCCTCTTCCTGACCCTGCTGGTCCCCCACCTAACTCAGGAACTCCTTCCTTCTCTGCCTCTGAGTTGGAGCCAGGAGGCCAAGATCTTAGAAGTCTAGGACTCCGGAATGGGTCCTGGGCAGTAGTTTGCAAAATTTGTTTAGCTACTACCAGAGAGAAGGAGCCACTAGGGTGCACCTCCTCCTTCCCTCACTCCCTCACCGAGGGCCTGGGTGTCTGCATACCCGTGGGAAAGGCTTGTTTGTGGAGGAAAAGAAAGGGCAAAGACATTAAGTAGTTTTGCTGGACTTGGGTGGCCCCTGGTAGCAGCTGGCTTCCTGAACCAGGCAGTGGCTGGGGAAGGGGAGGAGGGAGGGAGCAGGTCACCGTGGTCTCCCCAGCAGAGCTTTCAGGGAGCAATGGGCCCCACTGGGGGAGGAGGGTAATTTGCAGCCCAGACAGCCCAAACCAGCTTGGCCGCCAGCCTGAGCTGAGGACTCCCTCACCCAGGGAGCAGACACAAAGGGCCTCTGTCTGGGGTCAGCCGCTGAACTGTCCACAGCTGTCCTGGGCCCCACGGGCAGCCAGCCAGCTCCTACGCCTTCCTGTTCTCTCCCTCCCTGGCACCCTAGCAAGGCCTCCTCCAGAAGTGGGAGCACCCAACTGAAGAGTGTAGATGAGTGAGATTCGCTCAGGGAGGCAAGGAAGCCCTTGCACACCCCAAAACCAACCCGGGCCGCCTGCTCCCAAGCCTCCCACGGCTCTCTGTTTCCCACCACACTGAGGTGCGGACAGACCCCACTTTACTCACCCAAGCTTCCCCCACTCTTGGCTCAGACCACCCCCACTGAGGAACTTGGGTGAACATATGCTATGCCGTGGCATTCAGTGGACATTAACTTTCAGAGTGGCAGAGGCCTGGGAGGAACTCAAGGGACACGGGCAGGGCTGGGTGATGTTAAATATGGCACAACCTCGCTGGGAGTTGTAAGCGGAGAAGAATGAGAAGGACCTGCACGTGTTGCTATGGCACGGCCTCCACCAAGTTCTGCCCTGTGAAGCCAGCCACATGCAGGACAGCACACAGGGGTTCCAGGGGGAAGCAGATATCACCTCCTAAAGGACAGCCAAGGCAAGGGGAACAGGATCCCCTGGAGAGGGAGGGGTCAGTGTTGGGCATCCTCTAGCGCTGTTGTATCAGACTGGCTGTTTTAGTACGCGGTTTCTTTTTGGCTGAGAGGTACATACAAGGGCTGTTCAACCTTGTCCCAGCAGCAGGAAGGGACTCCATGTTTATTGCAAAACTTCTGCACTTCTAACCATGTCCTACTCCAGGGCCTCTGTGACTCTCCAGCTGTCCCGGGGGGAGTTCCTGGGGGTCTGCAGTGGCTGAGGATCAGTATCTTGGCAGGATTAGACCAGGATGCAGGACCGTGTTAAGCGCCTGCCGGGTGTACTGACATCAGCTACGTGTTCCTAGGCTCTGCGGGGAAGGGGGTTCCTCCCAGGCAGCTGAGGTGCAGTAGCTGTGGGAGGCAAGGCAGACTCAGGCCTGTCAGAGACTGGGCCTCTCCCCCTCGAGCCCCAGGCAGCCTCTTCCCCAGGGACCCTTGCGCCATGGGAGGGAAAGCTGGACCCATCCAAACCCTGGTTCTAGACACAGCTTGAGTGAGACACGGGAGAGAAGGCCAGACCAGAGCAGCCAGGTACCTAGTTTACCTGTTGGGAGGTTTTAGAGAGGGTCAGACCTCCAAGAGGTCATAGGTCAGCTAGGCTCAAGCCCCAGGCTTCTATACTCGCAGTGCAGGTTCATCCACTCTGCATTTAATCTCAACTACTTCATGATCACCTCCAGGTGAGTCCCTGGAGACACACTAGGCAACAAGACAGGTTTGATCTTAACAGTCTGTCAAACAGGGCATTAGGTATGAAAACACCTTAAAGGGACTGAGCAGGGCGTCACGGACCAGCAGGGGCTGAGCAGGAGCCCAGGGGAGCTGAGCTCTGTTCAGGTAGGGTCTCTATAGTGTGCCACTGGAGACCAGTTATCTGGCAGGTACCACAAGCCAAACCATGTGAAACCAGACAAAGCAGGGGAGTGCGGAGAGAGCCTGGCAGAGGTCCTGCCCTGGCAATGGGGCAGAGGTGGCCTGGAGTTGCAGTGCCATGGGCAAAGGGAGCCTGTTGGGTGGGCAGGGTGTTGATGTGGTATGGGAAGGCCAGATGGGGACTGGAGTGCTATTCTTAGTGCCATGGGGGTGTTAGCCAGGATGATACGGTGTGATGTTTGTCCTAACCAAGTCACTCTTACGGCCATGTGGAGGCCTGGACTGAAGGCCAAGAGCCACCAAGGATACAGCTGTGTCATCCACAGGTGGCAGGAGGGTGGACAGAGAGGCGTGGATCTCCAGGGCAGATCCAGGGGTATGTGGCCATACTGAGCAGGGAGATGGTGGGAGACCATCTGGGATGCCTCCAACATTTACGCTTGGAGTGAGTTTCTCTGTACCATGATAGGGCTCAGCAGGAAGTCAGAGTTGAGCAGGACGCAGAGCACTTCCTGGGGACAGGGCTGGGTAGACAGGGCTGGGCTTGCTCCCAGTGCACCACATGCCAGCCTTGGGGTCTTCATCTAATGAACAGGCTCAGCTGACACCACAGTTGATTATCCAGTGCCCTAGGGAGAGTTTAGCATGGCTGCTCATTCCTGGTGCTCGGTGATGACGGCTGATCTGTGGCACTGACCAGTGTTTCTGAACACTCACACAGTCTGGCCAGCAGGCAGTGGGGTTATGTGGCCCAGGGGGCTCAGCCCACTCATTAGGAGTGCCTGATCCTAAACTGGTTCCCTAGGCTCCTTCAGCCCAATGTACTTCTCAGCCTCAGTGTCCCCGTGGGGGCTCTGTGTAGCCAATGGCAACAGTCTCCTCCCACACACCATCTGCTGGGATCTGGAGGGCCGAGGTCCCCACCATCCTGCGGATGCAGCCCATCCTCTGTAAGTAGGGACACTCTGTGGGCAACCTCCCAGCTGGCAGGGCTGGGAAGAGGCCCATCTCCCTCTCCTCCTGTGAGCCCAGCCCAGTGGCACCTGGCTTGCGACTGCCCCTTTCCTCTGACCTGAGTGGATCAGACCTTTTCTCACAGAGCTGTGAAACCCACTACGTCTTTCCAAGCCCCACTTTCCCCACCTGCACAGTGGGCCCCCCTCCCACCTACAGACAACAAATGTGAACGTGCTGTGGTCGGTGAGCACGCAGGCTGAGCGGGACTGAGGCCTAAAGGTGGTGTGGCCAACCCAGCCCTTGCCCTGTCATAGGGTGAGCAAGGTTTCCCTGGAGAAGCTTTTTCATGCTCAAACCAGGGCGGGTGCCATGGCACCCACTTCCTCTGAGCACCAAGACCCTTGAGATACTCACATGACTTGGAGACCAGGGACAACTTCAGGCCAAAGAGCCAGGAGGCACCAGTCAGGAGCCAAAGCAGGGGTAGAGGCTGACCCAGCAGGACCCTCCCCACCCACCCCTGTGCTCCTGGATCACAGGACAGCCCAGCCCACAAAAAAAAAAAAATGGAGAGAAGACAGGCAGGGTGCACTACCAGCAGAGAGGGAGCCCTGGGCCACACCCTCACGGTGCGTGAGCCTGGCTTGCCGCCCATGCCCACTGCCTAGCTGCCCGCACGCCAGGCGTGGAGCACAGAGCAGGATGCTTCATGTGTGTGCCCTATGCCTGCAGAGTTATAGGGCAAGGAAAGTGGGAAAGACCAGGCAGTCCATGGCCTGTCTAAACCCCCAGTGACCAGTTCCCCTGGAAATGTGGCCAGGGTCACAGAGCTTCTGAACTGCTCCGAGTCAGATATGGGGATTCTTAGGCCATTTCCTCGTGTTTTTAAAGCACCACAGGGGCCACATTCAGCCCCTGAGCCACCAGGGTGGCTCTTGCAGAGCCCAGAAATAGGACCCCAGGCCCAGAGGCAGGGCCATGCTCCACTCAGCACAGTCCCAGTGACTCAGTCCCACCATCATCCCTGCACAGCCTGCGTCCCCAGGGTACCCACAGGACAAGCACATTCAGGGAATGCAGAGACTGGGGTGGCCTCGTGTCTGGGAGGAAGCCTTCACTCCTGGGCCCCCTGGGCTGATCTTCATCATCTAAATTCGGCTCCCCCACTCTCACCTTTCTCTTTCAAGGCAGGAGGGTAATATGTCCCAAGCCCACAGATGGACAGAGTGCTTCCTTGTGTGTGTGTGTGTGTGTGTGTGTGTGTGTGTGTGTGTGGTAGCCGGGATTGAACCTAGGGCCCTCTACCACTGAGCCACATCCCCAGCCCTTTCTATTTTGAGACAGGGTCTTGCTAAGTTGCTGAGGCTGGCCTCGAACTTGTGACCGACCCTCCTACATCAACCTCCCTGAGTCACTGGGATTACAGGCAGCTGCCACAACACCTGGCTCTGGGTGGCTTCCTGACACGGATTCACACCTAGGCCTGGGAGGTGTCAGATTCTGACCCCTGGGGCTCCCACCCTGGGCATCTGCCCCCTGCCCAGCAGTTCTTGGATGGGACTCTGGGGCTATAAGCCTGGGGACCACCTGGTATGTCCCCCTCCATTTCTCCATGTCCCAGACCCCTTTACAATGAAACAGACTAATTCACAGTGTCTCCTTTCTGAGGTCCCTAGGATCCCTCTGCTGGCAGAGGCTGTGCTGTGGCACGAGGCCCTGGAGAGCCGAGCTCCCTGTGTGTTCAGACACAAGAGTCCCCACGTCGTATCAGCCCCTCCGACACAGCCCTCCAACTCTGGGGCCATGGGTTTTCACAGTGACAGTGACCTGCACAAGGGGGACCAGCCTGGGTGGCTTACCAGTGTGAGCGCAGGACATTTAAGAGCAGGATGACGCCACCTAGGGAGTAGCAGGCCAGGTAGGGGGATCCGAAGGCCCTGCTCAGCTGGCGGGTTTTCTGTTCCCATCTCCCAACCTACATGACAGGCAGAAAGAAGGGGAACAAAGTGTGAGGAGTTTATCAGGGAGAATTCAGGGCAAGGGCGTGGGGGGACAAGTCCCCCTCTGTGTTCCCAGGTTCCTGAATCCCCAGTGCCAAGGAAGGAGAAGCGCACAGGAGCACCTGCCTCCTGCCTCAGCCAGCCAGCTATGCCTCAGGGCCACCTTTGCAGGGTTTCTACACTCCCTTGGTCCCATTATGTACAATTCCAACATGGCCCAGCAGACAGGAGAAGCAAGAAGAGCCAGAGGAAGTTCTCGGAATAGTGGAAGCACCCTGGGTCCTGTTCCTGCCCTGGAGACTCCCCTGGTATTCCATCCAAGGAAGGAATGGGAAGCCCCTCCCCATCCTCCTGTGCTCTCCTGAAGGCACCGGTTACCAAACTTGTAATTCTTAGCCACAGAATCCTTTTGCTTCTTCCAACTAATCACGTCTGGAACCTCAACATTTAGAAACTGTCAGGGCAGGGAAGCAAGCAGGGGGTTCCCCTGCCTTTCCAAGGGCCTCGCTGGTTGCCTTCCCCAAATGTCAAGGCACAGATGCTTGCTCCCGCGGCTGGGCTTCTGCTGCCCGGCCAGCCCAGTGCCCAGATGAATGCACGGGGTGGAAGGGAAGAGAAGGGGGGAAGGTACTTGGAACATGCAGAAGGACAAATGTGCAGTCTGGGGTTCTAATTAGGTGAGAAGTCCCTTCTCTGGGTGGGGCATGAATCTGAACCCATACGTATGTGCATGTGCATGTGAAGAGGGTCCCCAGCTTCTGACACTTCAACTTAGCAATTTTCAAACTTATGATGGTATAAAAGGGATAGTCTGGGTCTTTTCTTGGGCTATCAATGTGTAATCTGATCCTTTCTCCTGACACTGGGCAGTGGCAGTGAGCCACAGCTCCTAGTCAGCTCCACGATCACCGGGGGAACAAGTGGTACCCTACAGTATTCCGTGTGACAGTCTTTTGTGGATACAGTAAATTACACAAGCTATTCAACACTTTATGATAAAATAGGTTTTGTGTGTTGGGTGATTTGGCTGACATGAGTTGTGGGAGCATGTTTAAGGCTGGAGAGACGGCGAGGCAAGGCTGTTCGGTAGCCTAAATGCATCTTTGCCTTAACAATGTTTTCAATTTGCAATAGGTTTATCAGCACATAGCCCCTTTTGTTAAGTCCAGGAACATCCATTAGGAAGGATCAAGGTCTCTGGCTGCTGATACTGCCGCCCTGGGGCGCTGTGGGCTGTGGCACACCAGGGCCAGCCATCTATCACTATCCGGGCCCCACGGTGAGTCTGTTTGCTGCCTAGCCCAGCTTCCCAGATGGACCTGCCTTTCCCAGAAGCCAATCAGTTGGCAAGTGATGACTAGCTCAAGGCCCTGCCCATGAGCTGGCCCAAGGCCATGACTCCCTCTCCAGGAGGCAGCTCTAGTCCTGGGCCTGTCCTTGGAGCTCCTGGGCAGCAGGGCTGGGGGGAGGGGTGTGGGCCCACATTTACGGGAAGGAGAGCGAGGTGGGAGGTTCCAGGGCCTGCCCCTCAGTCAGCTGTCAGCTCCTCTGCTGTGTTCTAGAAGCTGGAGCCTCTGCTGAGCCAAAGGGAAGCTCAGTCCCCTCTCTAGAGGGGGTCGGGGAGATGCCCGGTGCTGGAGCGCACAGGGTCGGGGGAATACCATAACGCCTTGCAGCTGGCTGGGGCATCATGGTGCCTGGGGCCACCAATGTCACAGTCCTTAGGGCCACTTCATGTTTTCCCTTTTAGCCCAAACTGGCAACCATCACTGTGATCTCATTCCAGAACACTTCTGTCACCCCAAAGTGAACCCTGCACCCATCTACCGTCACTCCCATGTCCCTTCCCCATCCATCCCCTGGCAACCACCGGTCTGCTCCCGGTCTCCACAGATTTGCTATTCTGGACATTTCCTATACCAGAGTCATACAACACAGGGCCCTTTGAGTCTTGCTGCCTTTACTCGTTTTCAAGATTGATGCATGTTACAGCACGCATGTGTACTGCATTCCTCTTAGTGGCTGAATATTATTCTGTTAAATAAAGACACCATTTTTTGTCCATCATCAGTTGATAGACATTTGGATTTACAGTTTTTGGCTATTACAAATAATGCCACTGTGAACATTCAGGTACAAGGTTTGTGGGGGACTGGGCTGTAGCTCAGGGGCAGAGTGCTTGCCTGGCATGTGTGAGGTACTGGGTTCGATCCTCAGCACCACATATAAAAATAAACAAATAAAATAAAGGCATCGTGTTCATCTACAACTACAAAACATTAAAAGAAAAAAAAAAAAAAAGGTTTTCGTAGACATGCATTTTCCTTTCTTGGGTACGTACCTAAGAGCAGCTTTTTATTTAGACAATCCACTTCATTTGCCTTTGAAGACTCAGCCCAACTCAATTAACGGGCGAGTGCCTACTGGTGTAGGCCATGGTGCCAAGTGCTGTTGAAGCTCCAGAAATACATAAATGGGCCAGGCCTGCCTGGGGGAGCCGAGTCCACCGGCCAACAGAGACGAGTCTCTGCCTGTGTGTCTGCTCCTGCAGGCAGATGGCAGGACAGACAGGCCCTGAATCTGGAGGGGTGTCGGGGTAGTCTGACATCTGTGCACATGATGGGGTTCCTTCTGGAGGGCTGTGGGAGACGGGGCCACCTCCAAGGCCTTTCCAGAGCGCCTGTCTTCACAGCATGAAGACCCTGCGAAGGGCCTGAAGTGCCCTCCCTGGGCCAGAGGAAACAGCCTGGCTTCCAACTTGCACTGACTCAGGTCACAGTGGGAGACATGTCCAGAGAGAGGTCTGTAGGGAGCTCCAGGGAGGGGAGCAGTGTGTGCCCATCCAGGGTGAAATACCGCTAAACAATGCCACAATCACCATCAATCCAGCGTCACACAGCCAAAAAGAAGTGCAGCAGAAGAACTCTCCAGACCCCTGTCTAGACCCTTTCTATCCACCGAGGCCTGTGAGCCCATTTGCTTTTCAAAGGAGTCACAGTGGCACACGGTGTCCCACTAATACATGATCCTAAGACATGGTTTTTGAGTTCACTTGAGTTTTTCTCTCCCACAGAGAGGCCTGTGACCCTTCCACAGGCCCTGGTGCTGCAATAGTCAGGTCCTGGGTTTGGTGCCCAATTTATCCTCTGCACTCTGGGAAGCCAGTTTCTCTCTCAGGACTGTCGTCTACAGATGGAGGAGGTGGAGGGTGGCAATCTGAGTTGCCAACTTGCCATATCCAAGGAATGTGACTCCTGCCTTTCAGAAATGCAGCACGGGGAGCTGGGGTGTGGCTCAGTGGTGAAAGACCTGCCCCCCATCAGGAGGCCCTGGGCCCCATCCCCAGTACCACCAAGAGGAAAGGACAAGGAAGGGCCTGAAGTGCCCTCCCTGGCACCCCTGAAGGGATGGGCAAACTGTCCAGTGCTGGCTGGAGAGATGTACCAGGAAGGGCCCGAGGGGACTTGTCAGGGTCATGGTGACACAGGGGAACCTGCACAGGTAAAGTGTCCCTCCATAAAGCTAGTTGTTTGCAACTTTTGAAGGTGACCTCTAGGGCCAGATGAGAAGGGCTGTCAAGGTCATTTACCCCATAGGGCCACACGTCTACCCTGAAGGCAGGTCTTTTCTCCTGATTTAAGAGGCCTCCTAGATGTGTCCGAGGACACCCAACTGTGAAGGGGTGTGAGTGGGCAGGCCCTGGCCCTGGAGCCCACAGTCCAGCACTGTGCCAACTCTCAAGTCACAGTGTCCTACAGGGCGGTGGGAGGGAGCCTGTCCTCCAGACTCGGCTCCAGGTTCCCAGGACTTTGCTGTTCTGGTGACAAGGGCTAATCTGCTGTTCTTAGCCTCTCCCACAGAGTGAGCCCCACTTTCTTCTCAGTCTAGGAAAGGGTGGGTGATGCTCTTGCAGAACAACCTAATGACAATCAAAGACCACAAGGAAAGAGGAAGAGGAAGCGGTCAATTGGTGAATCGTGAATCCCATGAACAGTCGTCATCTGCCTCCCGGCTGGCCTGGCTGGCTTCTTATTCAATCACTATTATTTCAAGGCAATCAATAAATCACCAGCCAGTGCGACTCCTGGGTCTGAGGTTAATTTCCCTCCCTACCCGGCAGCCCCACCATCCCCTCTTCGGGCGCCCGGCTGCACACTTCATCCAATTAAGGGGCCGGAAGCAGGCAGGGAGCTGGAGACCAGAGCCAGTCATGAGGGTCGGGTGTGGGTGACGTAGGCGCTCCCAGCACGTGGCAGGAGGAAGAATGACGGGTGCTCTGCTCTCACTGCTCCTAGGTTTACTCATCATCCCGATTTCCAGAACCCCATCCCATGTCCAAACTCCCTCCCTCTTTAGGACTGCCAGACAAATACAAGCTGCCCCAGATAAATTAGAATTGCAGAAAAACAAGCAATTTTTCAGTGTGAGCTATTCTGAAAGTCACATGGAACTCGTTTTGTTGTACAAAAAAAAAAAAAAAATCATTTGTTGTCTACCCAAAATTTATATTTCTTGGAGATTCTAAATTTGTTTTTGCTGTGGGCAGCCCTGACCAGGGGTCCCCAGCTCAATTCCATCATGGATAAGACCGACCCCCAGGATCTCCAAATGTTGATTCATTTTCTTTTTTCGCTATTTTTCAAATCTCTCCCACAAGCCAGGCATGGTGGCACATGCCTGTAATCCCAGCAAGTCGGGAGGCTGAGGCAAAAGGATTATAAGTTTGAGGCCAGCCTCAGCCACTTAGAAAGACCTTGTCTCAAATTTAAAAAATAAAAAGGTCCCAGCGGCTCAGGAGGCTGAGGCAGGAGAATCAAAACCAGACTCGGCAACTTAGTGAGGCTCTGTTTCAAAATTTAAAAAAATAAAATATAAAAAAGGGATGGGGATGTGGCTCAGTGTTTAAGCCCTGGTATCAAAACAGACAAACAAATAAAAGAATGGGGGAGGAAACTCAATGGTAAAGCACCACTGA